CGTACCTTGTTGTGAGAAGATTCAATTTGTACTGACAGGCGTTCTTAGAATCCTTGATTTTTTCAGAATTGGATAAATCTCAAGAATGATGACTGAAGCCTCTTGAAGGAAATAGCGTCTTCAACTTCTTTCCATCCATGAATTCCAAGCTTTAAAAAAAAACAAACAAACAACAACACAGAAAATCTCAGGGGTTAAGCAAAAACATTTCCTAGGGTTTAAGTAGAACTTCTAATTGTAAAAGCCTCAACTTACCACTTATATTTAAAAAAACAAAGGGACTTAGCTGCAAGCGAGTTAAGTTTTTGATAATCACCTTTCATTTAACATTTAAGAAATTGTCTTGTACTAAAACGTCTGAATTTCTCTTTACTATCTCTCCCTTATGCCTGGCTCGATGAGGCAGTCAGCATCAGGTAAGAAAGTTTATTGGGGTTCAAGCATCTGATTGCTAATACTGACAGATTTTTTTTCTTTTTTGTACTTGTGGAAGTACCCCATTATTTACGAGTCTTTTAACATGTTGACCAACAGGGCGTGCAGATTCTCTTTAGAATGCTGAATCTTTTAAGCCCAAAAAGATGTGTACATGTGAATATTAAGTCATTTACTTGTGACAGTTGTGTTTTGGAATCAAATGGCTTTTGAAGGAATAACAGTTCAGTATATTTTAGTTGCATATTTTTGTTAACTCTTTGAAATATTCCAAAGATTGTATTCATGTGTTATAGTGAAAACTGGCCAAAAGCTGCAGTCATCTAGACAATATGACCTGAATTTGAGAATTAAAGCAAGACCTGCGGGTTTACCAGACCTAGTTTTACAGACTGTATGAGATTTGAGGTTGTTGCAAAACTGAAGCAGTAGAAACGACCAAAATTCATCTGAACTGGGGTGAGACGTGTCTAGTTCCCTTCATGAGAAGTAGAGTCAGACCTAGGACTGAAAGGATAAAGTGGCACTGGCTGTCATGACAAAAGAGAACATAAGTGACAGATCGGAGTGTGCACCCAGGCTGTAAGTCCATATTATGTTCAACATGGCTGCAAGAAAAAAAGCTGCTGTTTTTCTTCAGATGAAATGATAAGAATAGCAGTAAAACTAGGTGTTTTTTTTTCCCCTTGAGTCCTTAATTAGACTTCCAAATACATTGATACAATGTTTTGCTACGTTAATAACATCTTGATGTGATCTTTACTATGTTAAACCTTTTCTATGTTCAAATAATACGCTAATGGTAGAGATCTCAAGAAGTCACTCAAAACTCAGTGAACCAAAAAAAGTGATTTATCAACTGGAAAATCTTAAGCTATGCCTGCATAGTAGCAAACATGGAGTGGCTATTTACAATTCAGGAAAAGTATTTTATAGTTATTACTGAGACTCCTATAGTATCACTGGTTCAGTGTACGACAGCAACAAGAACCAACAAAACGATATTGGGAATCAAGAGGCAGAATATTAAAAAGAAAAGAAATACCACTTTATTGCCACTACAAAACTTTAGTGCAAGGATACTCCCTATGCCACAGGCTGGATGTAGAGAAGTTAAGGAAAGGCTGGAAGGAAGTTAAGGAGCAATTAAAATCAGTGGTTTAGAATGTAACCAGCTGTAGGGAACCGGGGGGATTGGACTAGAGCATCCCCAGTAGTCTCTTCCAGCCCTTACACGTCTGTGATTGTGTGAGTGCTGCTGCTTCATGAGGAAAGGCTAAAATAGATGGGACTCATTGATTTTGTAGGTAAGGCAAAGGAAAGAATTGTGATCAGGACTTCAGGATCCTGACTGAGTTGTTTAGTAAAAGGTGAAAAAACATCTGATAACTTCTAACTGATACTAGTTAGCATCTATTACGTTGGAATGCATACTGTCTACAAGTTGCTCCAAACGCTTTGAGAAGCCTTCCCAAGCCCTCCTACTGCAGCAAATGCTACAGATAATGGGTTTATTTCAGAAACGTGCCTAAATAAATGTTAGATTGAGGTGTCCTTGAAACATATTCCATTCTGAAAGTACTTAAAACTGAAAGTAGTGTGAAGGTCTTCACCCTCATCTGTTGGATGCTTTTAATTTCTTGAAGATCAGTTGATTCCAGTGTCTCATTTTATTAACATTCATATTTGAAAGAATTTAAGATGCAAGTCTTAAATCTGTATTTCAGTTAAATTTTCATTGTTTTCTAACTATGGTGCACTATCACAAAACCCTATGTATCAACAGCATGTTACTTCTGTTTTACAATTAGAAATCTCTATGAATGACAGCATGCACACTTCAACAAGTGTGGTGATTTTTTTACAAGTATCACAGTGTTTTGTTTTGTTTTGTTTTTACACATGGCTGAACTGGATCTTTCCAAGCTGGAAGGGACCCTGGAGTCTGCTTAACCAGCTGCTCAGAACAGTGTTGGCCAATGATTTCAGAACAGGTTGCTCAGGACTTTGTCATGCGGTTGCTGAAAACCACAGAGGATGGAGATGCTCAGTCTCTCAGCAACCTACTCTAAGTCTTAATTAGCCTTACAGTAATTATTGTCCCTTCATATTCAAACAACCTTCTGTTCTGTGTTATAATCATCGTCTTCTCCCATCGTACGTTTCAGTGAAGAGCACAATTTTTAGTCATCTTATGGCTTGAGCTTCCGCCTTTTAACTTTTTGATGATGTCCAGTGAGTCTTTTCATCAGCTTCTTGTACTGATGAACAGTTGAGGTAACGAATGCAAAGTCGTGTGCAGTCTGGGTACCACATGAAGTAAGAACCCGTAACGTACTGGCTATGCTTTTGTCCATACAGTGTACTGTGCTGTTAACCTTGCTCGCTGCTTGGAGATACTGCTGTCTCCAAGCCTATCACGTATCAAGGCTCCCACAAAATCTTATTCAGAGTTAGTGTTGTCCCCATGATACAAATTCTGTGCTGCAGTGTTTCTGTATTTCACTGTGCAAGTCATTTTTCAAGCAGACGGATGTTGCAGGACTATATGACTGCACAGTCTTCTCGCACATTCTTTGCAGTATGTTCATGTTTCTTCCTAGCAATATAATTCCTTTTAAATGTGAGTAGTTGAACAAGAAGGCAGGCAAGGGTAAAGCTGCAGACCAAAAGAAGTGTTTCTTGAGGGCAACAGATTGTCTTTTTGTTGCCTTAATAAGAGAATACATGTTACAGTTTTCCCACACTCTTCAGGATTTTGCATAGCCAGTAATAGCATTTTTTCCTTAGGGAGCCTTTTTCTTAGACTTACACTTGGTGTTAGGGAAGGCTACTGCTTGAAACTGCTAAGCTGTGATTTTTGTCATGTTCCCTAAAGGTGTTCATCTAAAGGTTTATCTAAAGGTATCGCACGCTGAAGGTTTCAGGAAAGCATTCAAGGTCACTGGCTTGGCTCTCAGAGTTCAACTGATGTTGAATATCACCTTTGAAGTTCAGATGAACTTTAAACAAGTCTTTAAACAAGTGAGTTCCTTGTGAAACAACTGCAACTTAAGTGTACAAGAACATTCCAATACTAGTTAGTATACATAGCTGCCTCCAAGTTTTAGGTCTGCAGTATGAGCCTATGTTCCTAACAGGAGCATTCTGATAAACATCAGAGTGATCAGATATATGGAGCTTTTACATAGCATTTACGTTTGATTTGAGGCTTCTAGAATGATTGAGATTCTTGCAACCTTTTTTCCAAACGGTTTTACTTGTATTTCTTGCATAAGCCCAGTGTGAATATCGAAATTCCTTCTTCCCCAAAAGAACAGGTAAAATCTGTTACTGATACAAACAGCAAGGACCTGCGTGCTGCTCTTATTTATCAAGCTGAATATCACTTCAAATTTCTGAAACATGGAATAGGTTTGTGATGCAAGTAGCTTCTCAGGCTTTTTCTCTCTACTTTCCAGATCTGACACTGTTAAGAGTTGCTTACAAAATAGCACTTGATGCATCCTCCTTTTTAAGCAGACAAGAATGACATTAGGAAGTTTCTGTAATGCATTTCAACGTCTTTCTAATTCCTTAGGATTCTTATCATAATACTTAACAGTTGCTAAGTATTGACTGTGAGACAACTGGCACTAAAAGTTAGGACAAGTGAATTTCTAAAGAAAAACTATCTCGGGAAAGTGTTCTGGGGGCCATGGTTATTTTGACTTAATGAACAGGGGATTTGCCAGAGCTTCAGGTTTTACATTCAGAAACATGGTTGAATACGTGGTTAAGTAGCTTATAACTCCAGATTGCATTTTGAGCTAGTTATTATTGTCTGGCCACAGCCTGAGAATCTTTTTTCTCGTTTGGTTTCTTAAAACTGGAATTATGATCTATTTGTGTTGTATGGGGAAGTTTCTCTTATTGTCTTGAAATATCACCAGCTCTGAACTAGATAATGAAAGGCTGCTTAATCTTGCAGTGTAGACAGAACTGAGTGTGTTTGCTGTGTGCTTTTTTCTGTGGCTGTATGAAACTAACAATACTACATCTGGATCCTTCTGCTTAGGAGTAGGGGAGGGCTTTTCTCAAGTTGAGAAATCAGTGATGGGGAAAGGATGAAACTTCAAAGGTATAAGATGTGAAGGCCAAAAGTGCTGTCCAAATGAGTTGTGCACTCTAGAAAACTAACAATCAACCATTCTCGTGGGGATGCTAAAGATGCAGTGAGTAGCTTGGAGAAATCTGTCACTTGTGATTCTGGGTACCTTGATTATTAAGCTTTAAAACTGAAATAGTCCGGGTGTGCGAGAAGAATTTTGGAGCATTTAAAGTGCTCTTTGAGGCATTCTTTCAAGTTCTCGGGATAGCCAGAAATGAGAAGTCGTTTTGTTCAGCTTCCAGAAGTCATTCGGAAATATTCTACATCTAAGTTAAATTAGTTGAGGAGAGATTATTGGAAGTGAGTGGTTTTGTTTTGATTTTGCTGCTGGACTCTTTAGCTCTGATTACCTTAAATCCCACTTGTTTGGTTGTTTGTTATTTGTTGTTTTTTTTTTTTTTTTTTTTTTTAACAGATCAAATGCTTAAAAGGACAGAGAGACTTCTCAGACCAACCCACTTTTGATGGGATCCACATTGTCAACCATTTCACAGGAGATGATGAGTCATTTCATTCTTCTGATGAAGATTTTATAACTAACTCCATACAGGAGAGTGGGGTAAGCTTTCACTTACACAGGAGGACTGGTCAGATGGCTTTGGATCACGCAGTTGTAGGCAGCAGTGACAGTGAGACTGAAGAAAGCACACTCCAGACTGGAAACTTGGACAAGATGGTTTCCAAACAGAGGAGAATGGAATCTTACTCTACTACTGTGTGATGATCACTGTGACTAGCATTTGAAGACTTCTGTGTTTCTTTAAGGCTTAAATTGTCAGATAATTGAAGGCATCCAGCAGTTGGTTTAAGTAACTACTGGATCTGTTCTGGCCTGTGATAAATACACACATGTACTGTCCACCTGCCTTCTCTTTGCCAAATCTTGCTAGTGACGTACCATTGCTGTGACGCAGGCTGGGAAGAAGTTAATGGATGACAGTTCTGACAGTATTACTGAATGTTCCTTGTTTTAGAAACTGCAAATATATAATTTCTTTAAATGTGTGAGAAACCCTTTTGCTGTTCACAAGGATGGGAATTATTTTCCTCAAAAGAAATCGCTCTTGTGCAATATTTTATGCTCTGAACAAATGTGTATGTTTTACATCGTTATCCATTTGTGATCAAGATGGACTCTAACCATCTGATCATATGGCATATATATAATTATGCTTCTCAATTACTTCTGTTTTATTAAAGTTACCAAATGCCCACAGAAGGCTTGAAAGAGAAGCCATAATCTATACTACTTCCTATATACAAGTACTGGTCACTAATGTCGTAAAGGTGTTTTTCACCCTTTTCACTTAAATTTATGTGCATCTGCTTTTGATGTTGCTAAATAATACCTGGTCTGAATATATTAACTACAATAATGTTTATTTTGTACATATTTATATAACTGCACCAAGCTGAAAATGTATATTATACCATTTTATACGAGGAATGTAAATGTTGCAATATGACTGTCTCATATTCTACCTGGAAAATGAATTCTGTATATACACACTAGAAATGAATTGCTAAATAAAAGCAAAACACTAACTTTACATTTAGTTTCGGTCTAGCTAGCTAACGAATTCCTGTCTAACTGAAATGCTTGTTCAAAACACTATTGACTGAAATCTTCTACCTTCATATATATGTAATGAAAATAAATTTTTCACAATTTAACAAGGTTGCAGCATTTACTGTCTAGTCACTTCTAAGCTACAGCCCTTGGTTACCCTCCGGCTCTGAATTAGAGCGGTACTTTGAATAAAAAGAAAGATTATTTATGTATTCCAGTTAACAGTTCTAATGAGGGTATCAGTGCAGTGAAAATGTCTGCATTTTGTTTTTTTGCAGTTTTTTATTGCTGTTATCTGAGAAATAGTATAGATCCTGTCACCAGGATAGCTTTTTGTTAGCCAAAGTGTGAGTGCTGAGCAATTCTGCTTTCACCCTCTCCTATAAACTAAGATCCAATAACACAGCCCCCTGCCTTGGTTCTTGAACAGAACAACTTCATCTAACATTGTCATATGAACACCCTTGGAGACAAGCTAGTTAGCAGTTTTCACCACTATTAATATTCTCATCATACATACATAAACAGTTCTTGGAATTTGTTTTCAAGTAGTATTTGCAACTGTATTTTAAGAATAAAGAAGGGCTATGTTGGCAGTAATAGCATGCATGTGAAGTCTTACTGTGAGAAGCAGCATAGCTATTAAAAATCATGGAACTGTGGAAGCATAGTGCTGAAGACGTTTGAAGAACATCTGAGCTCCCGGGAAAACGGCAGAAGGGAGGAGGAAGAATATTTCAAAGAACAAATAGGGAAGGCTGAATGGAGGAAGCATCTTCTGGGTGACTCAGCTGCTTTATTTGTTTAGGCAATGCAATTTAAATCTCAAAGCAAACGGGTGAAAAGTTTTAAGTTGCCCACTTCTGCAAGTTCTGCCTTGCTTCATTTCTTCAAACTATTCCCACATCTTGCTGCTGCCTACACTGTATGCTGTATAGCTCATGGAAATTGTCATCACTGAGGAGGATTAGCTTGACTTTGGTTCTAATCGCTATTAGAAATCTCATGTGCAAGAACAAGCCGTGCCTGCTTTCTTTGCTAACAAGTAACATTTTTTTTTCTTTCCAGTGAGGATCCAGTGACATATTTTGCAGCTGGGTAATTGTTACCTAAGATGATGGGTGATAAGGTCTTGTTGCCTGTCATCAATACCAGCTGCAAGCCTCTCTTAAAGGTAATGTTCCATAATAAGTGGCAGGAGCAAAATGCAGTTGGAGGTCTGTATAAATGCTTGAGTGCTATAATTTTGCCTAACCGCCTTACTGTTCAAGTGCTAGTAAATAAGATCAGTTAACAGGAGTTGTTTCCTGAACTTTTGTATTTTTAAGTATTGCTAATAGTGTAATTGCAAACGCTGAGTAACAGCACAAATAAAAATGTCAAGGGAAAAGCAAAGGCCTTTATCCAACTACTGCACCTGTTTTAGAGATGAAGGTCAGTGGTTGAACATGCTGCAGTTTCAGAAGTTTTATGTGGAACATCCTCAGAGGGCAACACAAAGAATGCTGTTGAGAATAATCATACTTCTTCAGATGTTCTGCTACAAATGAAGCTAATTTCTTTGCCTATGTGTGTTACGATCTGAATACATACCAGAATAATGGCAATATATTAACAGTGTAGGTGGTACATTTACTAGTAAGTCAATAAATAAGGCATATTGATTATGCTACACATCGTGACCTTGCTTACGTGACCTTCTAAAAAACTTCATAGCTCTCTTAGGTTTGTTGCTTTGCTACATTCAGGCTGCAGAAACTCAATGTGAGTGTTAAAAAGTTAAAATCACGTGAACACAGAAGTTAGCCTCAATATGTGCATATTCAGGAATTCTGAATTTTGGTAGTGTCATACACAGTTTCCATTTAAATTCTATGTTTGGTAGTAAAAAATGGTTCTGTTTGCCCGGTCTCATAATGAAATACTTTCATTAGCTACAAAAGCTTGAACGTTTACTTTTTTGTTTTTGTTGTTCCTTCCTGTACCTTGCAAAGGTACAACTATTTTAGGATCTGATAGCGTGGGCTGTTGTGCTCAAAGGAGGGCTGCGAAGATGGAGAAGGCTCTAGAAGGCAAGGCATGCGAGGACTGGCTGCAGTCACTGGGATTGCGCAAAGCAGAGCCTACGGAGGGGAGGCTTCACGGTGTGCAGCTCCTCACAGGGAGCAGAGGGGCAGCGCTGAGCTCTGCTGACCCGAGGGAAAGGCACGGAGCTGCGTCAGGGGAGGGGCAGCTGGGGGTGACAGACTCTGCACCAGAGGGCGGTGGGTGTGAAACAGGCTGCCCAGGGCAGTGGGCGCAGCACCAGGCTGCCCGAGTTCAAGGAGTGTCTGGGCAGTGCTCTCAGATGTACGGTCTGCTTTTTGGGTGGTCCTGTGCGGAGCCAGGAGCTGGACTCGATGATTCTTGTGAGTGCCTTCCAACTCATGATATCCCACGATTCTGTTTTATCTTCCACTAAATTAAAATTTCAACTGTGAGTATAAATTCCTCTACCATTTTCACTAAAATAAATTCTTGTAAGACAACAAAAGAAAAGTGACTAGCACAAATTTTACAATACCACTTTGTAAATAATGTAATACTGTACTTAGTCACTATTCAGCTCTTTTGTGGAAAAGCAGCACTGAAGAAAATGCATGTTTTTGTTTTGATTTTATGTAATCAGTGTTCTAAATAAAAGATGATGTTAGCAGTTCTGAGAGAAATTTGATGCTCGTTCCAAATTCATACTTTAAAATCCAAAGTGGAGGAAAGATTTGTTAGCGTAAAATGTCCACAGTTTAGCATGGATGTGCTGCTACTGGGTATGCTGCTAACTCCTGCTAATACCTGCAGAGACATCAAAGAAGTGTTGCACATTTTGAGAGAAGGCAAAGAATAGAGGACAGTGCAGATTTCCTAGGACGGTCAGTAGGCTAGTCCTGGAGGCTAAAAAGAACAACCACCAACCAGCAAGCCATAATATCGAGCTTAGTACAATCTACCTGAAAATCGCAGTGTTTGGTTTAACTGTGCACCTGCTAAAGAATTTATGTGTGCTGAGATGGAATGCAAGAGTTCTGTAGAACCTGATGGATCTCTGGATTTCACAGTTCCATTTTGTTCTACAAAATACTCTTAACAGTATAATCATGTTGATACATTTTTTAAATTCTCTTTTTTAAGGGGGGGGATTTTTAAAATTATTATTTTTTTTTTTTACAAACAAGTTCAAGACAAGATAAATCAATGAAATAAACATATGCAGTAGCCATTACAACCAGAGATTCTGAATGGTGGAATGAAAAGTGCACCATAAGTTGAGTTCCAACATAAATTCTAAATAGCATGATGTTTTATTTTGTTAGAGTGGAGAAAACATGCTAACATACATCTACTTAAACATACATAGTCAACCGATTGACTCAGATACAATCATACACGTACTTGATCCAAAATATAACACCTTACCACTTTCCCTTCCCAAGACTCAATACCTCATTTCAGAATCATGAAATACAAAAGCAATGCAGTACATTCTCGGAGTTGTACATACACTGCTGCAGAAGCAACTTGAAATTTCTGTTGTCCCACTCTAGGAACTAAAATTCCTAAGACAATTTTGCATAGTCTATGTTCCATAACGCACAGATTCAACTTCCAATCCAATCATGGGTTAGGTTGGGACTCCTAAAGACCATCCAGTCCAACTCCCTTGCCATGAGCAGGGACATCTTTCACCTCTGGATCTGGTTGGTCAAAGTCCAAACTGAACAATTCCAGTGGTGGGCAAGCACTGCTTCTCTGGGCGATCCGGTCCAGTGTCCCACTACACGCAGCATTAGAAACATTCTCTTCATATCTAATAGCACAGGTAAGTTCTGGGCCCACTCCCTCGCAAAGCTGGAATGCTGTTTTTTTATCTCAACCTTCAACAACCCGGCTGGCCTACTGCCACTTTCTGTCTCTAGTTTGTGTTGGCAGAAATCATTACTCTGAGAGCAGCAGATGAAATTGCTTTTATTTCTCTAGTGAGTTGAAAAGTTACTATTGAAATTGTGAAGTCTGATGTATTTACAGCACATTCGTATGCCACAAGGAGAAAGACACAAAGGTCCTGAGCAGCCGCTAGGAGAACAAAATAAAACAAAAATAGCACAATCAGCGGGAAATATAAAAAATGATGACACCTTTCCCAAGAGAATGCAAAGCACTACAAGTTAGCATGTGCTAGCAGCTTCTCCCAGTGAAAACGTTCTGGATAACAGAGATCTCAGCTTTCAATACACGGAAGTGTGCACCTTACTCATGAGTTCCCCATAGAATCACTGCTGCTGCTCCCAGTCCTGACTTCGACACGTATAAAAACGCTTCTCCTCCCCTACCTGCATTCAGCTGCGTCCTCCTGCCACAGTCTCATCACTCCTGACCACGCAGATCCCATCTGCATCCCGTCACCCTTCCTTCCTTATCTGCTTTCCTTGCTTTAACGGACATCTCAGGCGGCTGCCGAGAGCAGCGCAACGCATTACGCCCAGGAGCTTTTCGCTCTTAGGCCTGCGCCTGTAATGGAATCTCGCACCGAACGCGCCCTCCTCCCGCGCTCTGCGGGTAACGGCCCGCCCCACACGGCCCCGTCTCGGCCCCTCAAGGGAGCGCGGCCACTTCCCGCCTCGACAGCCTCGCGCGGCCGCCGACGCACGTGCCGCGCGGCAGACTCGTGCCTCGGGCCGGGGCCCCGCACACCTCCGCGTGGCGGCACCACGGCGGCCACCGCCGGCCGGGAGCACTGCCGGCCGCTCCCGCTCCCGGCGACGGAGCTGCGTGCTGCCGGCCCGCGGGAGCCGCTGGGAGCGGCGGGAAGCGGATCAGGATATGGGCCGGTTCCGCGCTTCGCGGAACGAAGCCGCTTGCGTGCGCTCTCCTCGCACGTGTGAGAGAGCCGGCGCCGCAGGGCCGGCTGCCGTTCCGACGCGGCCATCCTTCCCGACGTGTCGCGCTGAGCAGCCGCTGCCCGGCCGTCGTAGCTGACGGGTGTCGCTGCCCGCAGCTCTCGTAGCGCTGTCACGCGGCGCCGCGCCTGAGGTGTGCGTGACGCGGTGCGTGGCGCCCCGCAGCCCGG